TTTTTTTTTTAATCCTTCACGAGTTCTCTCTGCCATTAGGTCCAAGGGGCAGTTTTTGATCTCCCAGAAGAAATTGCTAAGGAGTTGCTGATGAAGGAACTTCCACAGGGAAATACTATTACCAAAATCATCAAGGTGATCTTTTTATTTGGCCTTCATTTCCAAAAATTGTAGCATAGGTTGATTACTACCCCAGTTAGCTTTCAAAATAGTAAGTCTAAAACTCAGGTTTAGCTTTTGTGATTATCCATTATCAACAATAAGACGCACATGCCGAAGCCGTTACTGCATGGTTGCTGAAGTATTATTTTTCTTATGTGCTACTATTTTCTCATCTTGTTTTTTGGCATTATTTGTGCAGTTGCCGTCATTGCAAGATGATGGGCCTCCAAGCGATTATTATGGCAGATTTTCAAACTCCGATAGACGTTCCCAGAGAGGAGGCTCAAGGGACAGGAGAGATTCCAGAAGTTCTCGAGATTGGCTGAATAGCAGTGATGACGAGGATAGTTCTAGAAGAGGTGGTCGTGGGGGCAGAAGTGACAATAAGTGGTCTAGCAGCAGTAGCAGTGATTCGCTGTTTGGGAATGATAGGCGATCAAGCCGTTCCTCGTCTTATGGTAGCCGTTCGCCATCTTTTGGGAGCCGATCCTTTTCTTCTGGGGGCCGAGATAGGTATAGTATATTTTCCTTGATTTGCATTCTTGCCGTTGTTGCTGAACAACAATCATGCTTGATCGTAAAGATTGAAGCAATTGAAAAATGAGAATACCCTTGAGATTCTGTCGAATTGCGAAAACCCAGCCCTTTTGATACTTTGCTAATCTTTCTAAAATATGGGGTTGTGAAAGATACAATTAGGTTTTTCTTATTAAATTTCAACCTCAAGGATAATTTTTGTGATCATTCTTGATCAAACGCACATCGACATACTCACATTTCCAACAGCCAGAAATGATGTTTTCACAGAGGAAGTGGTTTGTCCACGTGAATGGAGATTGTAGCTTGTTGTTGGCTTTTACTTAGGATCCACCTTTTCTTCATTGTCCAAGAACATATTCTCTGTTTGCGTAAATTTGAACTTGTTGTGGATTCACGTTATGTGTTTTCTTGCAGGAGCTTTGGCGGTGCATGCTTCAACTGTGGGAACACTGGTCACAGAGCATCAGAGTGTCCCAGCAAGAACCGTTAAGTTATTCTGTTTTTGTCTGGTTGTAGAAGTTCAAAAGCCGTAGCTAAGTCCCTCTTCGCCAGAAGCAGAGTTGGAGTAACAGTCGTGAAGAATGGTTACCTTCAAACTAGTTGCGGTGTAATCTGCACTTGCTAAATATTTGGCCTGGCTGATTTTTTTCCAACCAATGTATGTGTGATCCAGAAAGGAGGCAAATGGGTGGGGGTATTTGTATTTTTTGGTTATGGGATGCTGGAAGAGCCTGTAATGCATATAGGATAGGACTTTCATTTACTTACTACTTTCGTGTGTGTAGTAGTAGCTCCGAGATACAAACATAATCTTGGATTTGTTGTATTGAAACGGGAAAATTTCACAATCTTGGATTTGTTGTATTGAAACGGGAAAATTTCACTTTTGGTACTATGTTTTCTTTCAAGTACCTAATGCATTCACTTAATCAATTTTGGTACTCACTGTCCTAACCGTTTCGGTCCTTAATATTTTCATTAAGTTCCAATAGAACCATTTGATATTTTATGGAAATTCCTAAAATATAAATAGAAAATATGACTTGATTTTTAATAAATTAATTTCTACGTGGCGCCATTTGATTAGCCACAAATTTTATGCATCTAGAAGATATTCTAAAAGATATTTGATATTCCAAGATATTCTAGCCACAAATTTTAAAGATTTATTTAGATATTTCAAGATATTCTAGAAGATATTTGATTATTTACCAAGAATAAAGATTTGACACTTGGTATTATTTGATTGGTCAAGAATTAAAATATTAAAATATAAATTAATTAACTATTTAAATTTAGAAATTAAATTTATGGAAATTCCTAAAATATAAATAGAAAATCATGGACTTGCAATATCTTCATCAAAGACTAGACTTCCCGATACGTCGATAATCAACGAAGACCCAGATACGAATGGAGGTACTTCATGGCGATTCGGTCTAACTACCTTACGTGGCGTCAAGGCAATCGCTTTTTCATTGAGTCGTATAGTCCTCATCGATTCAGTCGCCAATTTGGGTTTTATCAAGATGTTCCTGGTACTTTGAAGAAAGTTTCCGCGAGTGCTCTCTTGACAACGGAATTTACTATTGGCAACAAAGCGTTCTATGCGGATCTTCATCCAAAGCTTCGTTGCCTTGCGTATCTCCGAATCCGAAGAAGTCAACACAACTTATAAGTCATGGTGGCAACAAGTTCACGGAGGCTATCTTGAGCGCCATATAAAGGATTTACTTGCATCAAAGCCGAACGTGATATCTTCGAAAGACAAGGAGCCAGTTGTTCATCAATGTGATTCTAAAGAGATGCCTTGGTGAGTTTACGGATGTATTCGCATGGTCGTATAAAGAGATGCCTGGACTAGAACCAAAGATGGCGGTGTATACCTTGTCCGTGAGAAAGAGGGCAAAACCTGTTAAACAAGCACAACGAAGATTCCAACCTGAGTTGATCCCGTTGATTGAAGCTGAAGTGAATAAACTCAGTGAAGTTGGTTTCATCCGAGAAGTTAAATATCCTACGTGGATCTCGAGTATCGTTCCTGTCAGAAAGAAAAATGGACAAATTCGAGTTTGCGTGGATTTTCGAGATCTTAACGAAGCGTGTCCCAAGGACGACTTCCCCTTGCCAATAACTGAACTCATGATCGATGCTACGACCGGACATGAAGCATTGTCCTTTATGGATGGTTCATCAGGATACAATCAAATACGCATGTCGCCAAGAGACGAAGAGTTGACTGCATTTCGCACTCCAAAGGGCATATACTGCTACAAGGTGATGCCATTCGACTTGAAGAATGCTGGAGCTACCTATCAAAGGGCAATGCAAAAGATATTTGATGACATACTCCACAAAAACATCGAGTGTTATGTTGATGATGTCGTGGTAAAGTCGAAGAAGCGAGAAGACCACTTACAAGATTTAAGGATGGTTTTTGAACGCCTATGAAGATATCAACTCAAGATTAATCCGCTGAAGTGTGCATTTGGTGTCAAGTCGGGGAAGTTTCTTGGGTTCATTGTTCGTTACCGTAGAATAGAGATCGAGCAAGCAAAAGTTGACGCAATACTAAGAATGCCCGAGCCTCGCAACATTCACGAGCTTAAAAGTCTGCAAGGGAAGTTGGCATATCTTCGAAGGTTCATCTCAAATCTAGCCGGACGATGCCAACCTTTTAGTCATCTGATGAAGAAAGGTATTCCTTTTGAGTGGGATCAATCTTGTACAAATGCTTTCGAAAGCATAAAGGCATATCTGATGAAGTCTCCTGTGTTAGTCCCACCGGACGTGCCAAAAATTTGTAACAACAAATTTCGTGTATTGAATTTAAAAACACGAAAAATATTATTCAAATGAATTTCTCGAATCAAAATAAATATAGCGGGTTACAATCTCTATTTTTCCTCTAATTCTTCTCACAAACAATATTTAAGTCTTGGAGCGAAATGTTCGGCTTGATCTTCTCCTTGACTTGATTTGACTTGAATTAACGTAATCAGGGCTTGAAAGCTTTTTCCCGGATCAAACGTCAAAATATCCCAAGAACGCGAAGAACACGAATCCTTGGTCTTCACCGCAAAGTAGATCTCGAATATTCTTCACGCCAGTTTTGAATTTACTAACATTATTCGGAGGCTTCGCAGCTTGTTTCCGGATTGAACGCTAGTCTTGAGGTTGAACGCGCTTGAATCTTGCTTTGAATCTTCAAGAACGCCTTTGAATCTTCAAGAACACTTGAATCTCGTCGAGAGATCTTGAACTTGAACTTGAACTTGAATACGAACGTGATTCGGAGGCTTGGTAGCTTGTTTCCTGATTAAACGTCGCTTTTGAGCTTGAACTTGCTTGAATCTTCCTTCAAATCTTCAAGAACGGCTTTGAATCTTCAAGAACACTTGAATCTCGTAGAGAGAATCTTCTAGAGTTCTTGAACTTGAATTTGAATTATGAGATGTGTCTTTGACATTAGGGAGAGCCCATATTTATAGGTGTAGGGGAGAGGACCCTACCAAAATCAAGAATCGTAGGACGCAATTTGATTGGTCCATGATGATTCACATAAGATCTTCTAGATTTACTTAGATATTCCAATATATTCTAGAAGATATTTGATTATTTACCAAGAATAAAGATTTGACACTTGGTATTATTTGACTGGTCAAGAATTAAAATATTAAAATATCAATTAATTAACTATTTAAATTTAGGAATTAAATTTATGGAAATTCCTAAAATATAAATAGAAATTATGACTTGATTTTTAATAAATTAATTTCCACGTGGCGCCATTTGATTAGCCACAAATTTGTAACAACAAATTTCGTGTATTGAATTTAAAAACATGAAAATATTATTCAAAAGAATTTCTCAAATCAAAATAAATATAGCGCGTTACAATCTCTATTATTCCTCTGATTCTTCTCACGAACAATTTAAGTCTTGGAGCGAAATCTTCGGCTTGATCTTCTCCTTGACTTGATTTAAACTTGAATTAACATTATTCCGAGGGCTTGAGAGCTTTTTCCCTAATCAAACGTCGTAATATCCCAAGAACGCGAAGAACACGAATTCTGTTCTTCGCCGCAAAGTTGATCTTGAATCTTCTTCACGCCGATTTTGAATTTACTAACGTTATTCGGAGGCTTCGCAGCTTGTTTCCGGATTAAACGCTAGTCTTGAGGTTGAACGCGCTTGAATCTTGTTTCGAATCTTGAAGAACGCCTTTGAATCTTGAAGAACACTTGAATCTCGTCGAGAGATCTTGAACTTGAACTTGAATAAGAACGTAATTCGGAGGCTTGACAGCTTGTTTCCGGATTAAATGTCGTTTTGAGCTTGAATGTGCTTGAATCTTCCTTCAAATCTTCAAGAGCAACTTTGAATCTTCAAGAACATTTGAATTTTGTAGAGAGAATTCTCTAGAGCTCTTGAACTTGAATATGAATTATGATGTGTCTTTGACATTAGGGAGAACCCCTATTTATAGGTGTAGGGGAGAGGACCCTACCAAAATTAAGAATCGTAGGACGCAATTTGATTGGTCCATGATGATTCACATAAGATCTTCTAGATTTACTTAGATATTCCAAGATATTCTAGAAGATATTTGATTATTTACCAAGAATAAAGATTTGAAACTTGGTATTATTTGATTGGTCAAGAATTAAGATATTAAAATATCAATTAATTAACTATTTAAATTTAGAAATTAAATTTATGGAAATTCCTAAAATATAAATAGAAAATATGACTTGATTTTTAATAAATTAATTTCCACTTGGTGCCATTTGATTAGCCACAAATTTTATGCATCTACAAATGCCCCCTCGAGACTTGTTCACGAACGATGTGTCTTGGAGTGAATAAGTCGCGACATCTTTCGGCTATATGATTGGGCCAATTATTGGGCGTCTTATAAGATTTTGACATAAAGTAGTATTGGGCGTATTTCCAATTCAATGCCCATTTTTCAAACAAAACGAGATTAGTCCCAATCTCATTTCAAAGACCATTAGACAAAGCCCGCAAGGAAGCATAACATATCCATTTCATTAGCCCACTTAACTGAACCAATTCACTAATTATTTGGCCCATTAGCAAAGCAAATAATCTTCAATTTTCAATTTAATCATGGCTCATTTAATCAACTTGCACAGCAACTCATCACAGTCAAAATACAAAAGGGAAATAATACACGTCCTTTTTTTCTTCTTCGGCCGACAGAGCATACCAAATTACCAATGTGTATCAAGTTAGTAGCCAAACTTTTATTCCAACACCACAACACATGCATAATATATTCACATGGAAACAAATTATGAACGTCTATATTTATTTTCCTTTCCATAGAAAATACTAACATCCCAAAACTCTGAACCTTGAGCTCCAAGCCTCCAAGTCCAAAATTAAAGGAAAGCTTCCTTTTTGATGTTCACACTTCACAGAGACATTGAGAACGTGAGTCCACATATATTTTCTTTCCAGTTT